TTTAGATTCATCCCTCACTGCTTAAACCACTGACTGATAGTGGTATTATCAGTAATCAGCCAGCGATAATAAAAGAATATACACCTATATTAGTGAAAACTGCTAACTACAATATGATAAGACGGTAAATATTGAGGTTTAGAATAACGGGTATTGATATAAACGACGCATCCTGATAAATACACAGAATTTGCCACTGATATTATTGGTTTTATCACAACTATTAATGTATTCCTGCCGCTGCAATTGGAGAAATTGACTGCGGTGCTAAGTATAAGATAGTTGCTTCCTTTTTTTCCTGTAGCCACATCAGTGTTGAAGGATCAGCTAGTGGTACCGTTGTGAAGCAATTATTAAATGGCTCATCTTAAAAAAGGGAAAACATCGTTGGAAGTCTTCCCACTCCTCCCTAATCTGCATATGCATACGTTCCTATGGCAGCGAAACGCACTGACAACTCCTCCAACGGAATACCATCTTTCTCATCACTTGAATGTTGAGCTATAGCTAATTAGGACTGAATAAAAGTATAAGGAGGGCAACTTAATTACGATATTAATACTGATACTATCAAAGGCTTCATAATAAAAACAGCAATAATATTAGTAATGAAAGTTGTGTATTGATGATGGTGTGAAAAAAAGTGTTAAATGTTGTAAAATATGATACAGATTCTACAATACTCAAATACAACAATAATAAATGACAATAGTAATCAACGTTTCAGGTGATAGAAATGGATTCGGGGCAGTTTAGTCGAGGTGTAGCGCTAGCTCGCGGCGCTGATGCATTGGGACCCGATGCGTTGCTGTTTTTTATTGATGTGGATATGCTTTTCACTTGTGATACTTTCGACCGGGTGATACGCAATACAATACGTGGTGCTCAGGTAACTTTTGCTCGACTTTATCACTAACCACCTGATGTACGTCCTCGAATTTACTATTGGCTAAGCCTAATCGCAATGAGTTGAACCTCTCCTGTACTCGCGCTGCCACATAGCATTACCAGTGTGAAATAATTCTGAAAGCGTCCAATATTAAATTTGCCTAATTAGCAAAAATTCGTGATTACAGCGAGAATATGCAAAGCTTTTTTTGTCCGAAGGATTCATAAAGCGACACACGCGTGCGTGAGCACGGCGCAAAAAACTAAAACAGACTGATAAATTTCAGGTGTATTTTCCAATAGTCTTCAGTGAATATTCACCGGAAACGTGGTCTGATAGCGACCGATTACTTTCCGATGCATTCCACTACGGTCGCAAACGTGGCTATTTCCGGCATTTCGGATATGGACTGGTATCCATATACAAATCCGATCTAGAACTGGTTGGCGGCATGAACTTGAATATCCAGGTAAGGCTTTTGAATATACTCATGCTGCTTGGTGCCCGTTCCCGCACGGCTGTCTGCGAATTTCACTTCTGGCACTGTTTTCGAAGATTCAGTCAGTGCGCAATTCTGTTCATGTGCAGTTGCACAACGTCCGCTTTTATGCGTTCTTGCATATTTATAATGTATGTGTAAAAACGCATATTGTGATTTTGCCACGATTTACTAGCCATGTCTCGCTGAGGTCAAAATAAGCAAATTTACTCAAAACTTGAGCTCACAAAACTATTGTGTGTTTAAGGTGTTATGTGGAAGTTACAGAAAGTATTTGACTGATCATCCCAAGTACCAGTACTATTGAAAGGGATTCACATTTCAGGGCTGGGGTATGGAAGACGTGGATTTATTTGAGAAATGTGTACGCTCACCGTTACGAATAATGCGTGCCCCAGATCCGGGTCTTGTACACATTTACCATACAATCCGTTGCGACGAGTCGATGCCGGAAGCGCAGTATGCGATGTGTGTTGGTTCCAAGGCTGCCAGCTTGGCATCATTGGATTCTTTAGTTGACCAATTGTCTGTATATTCATGACATTTGCTCAATTCTAGGCTAGTTATTATTTTAAATGATGCAGTAAAATCCGATCTCGGGTGACGATTTACCAATAGTATGTGTGGATACCAAAAAAGTTGCACTCTCCAAAAGAAAATATATTCAAATCTTAGAAAAAATTAAAAACTACCAAAATTTTATGGCCCTGTCTGCTCAAAAGTATCATGACTTGGCATTCCAGCGCATGTACTCATACTGAATGAATATGAACTATGAAGCTTTAAAAATCATTCGATTTTTAGATCAGAACTTATTACTGGTTACAGAAGATAGTGTCCAGAGCGTAGGTTTGATCACAGAAGGTGAGGTAAGAAGGAATATTGTGAGAGTCCGACTGCTAAAAGTGCCAAAACTTGTGCCTGTTTCATGTTATATTCGCTTGATTATCTGCTGTTGATAATAGTATCAGTATAATGTTGTTTACATGAGTTTGGACTGTAGACTTTCGCTGCTGACCGTTATCACTGTAATGCTCATATTCGATTCTGATTCATATCATAATTTGTTACTGCATTTTGTGTGAGGTGCTAATTTCACGATGATCTGTGCTGATGTAATAGCTAGGCGAAAGAGGATTTCAAAGAGCTGCGAAGCAAACCCCTCCTGTTTGTCCAGTGTAAATTCGGAGCGAAAATTATTCGGTAACCGGGACAATGCTACGGAAAGCAGGTGAATAATTTAGAAAGATGCTGTCCAAACCTGCTGTTTATCCGTGGTCATTTAGTGTTATCATGCAGATGCTGGCAAATTTTCCATTTTGCTTAGCAAAGCTCACCGCATCCACGTTCACTGCATGCGGGCAGATGCCCAAATAAGTCATTCCGTTCCAGAAAGGAAGTTTCATAAGAAAACTAATCAAAACCCATCAATAGCCTAGCTTGCAAACAATATGTGCCTTTTGGATTTTGCGTTGTCTATGTTCATGTTATGCGTCGTAACTTATTTCTTTGCTCCTGCATTTTCAGTACTTTTAATAATGCCATTTTACAGTTGTTAAGGAGGCCCCAGAGCATCCCTCACCGGCATCCGTGTTTTAAGTGAGAAAGGAGAGGGGTGACAAACGACGGGGAAGGGGAAGAAGGCTGGCAAGGAGATGGGAAAGCAAATGATAGAGCCATTTTGAATCTTACATTTTGCTGCCGGAGATTGAAATATCGAAGAGAGTGGTTCACTATTGTAAACTCTTCAGGATTACTAAATCTTTTAGAAATCACTTTTTTTGTGCTCTGGATAATTCTCAACAATAATTGTTAACAATTTATGTGAAAAAAAACCTTTAAAAACTCTAAAGCACTGAAAGAAAGCTGGAAAAACAAAGGAGTGTAATTTAGAGGAAATACGTAAATGGATGAGCCCTTGAATATACCAAGATTATCAGATTATCAAGGGCGCCTGGACAACACAGGCGGATCCAGGACGGTTTCCCGGGTAGGAGGAGGGGCGATTTTTCACCTCCCCTTCTCCTTTCGTCACTACACTTCCCTCCCCCTCCCCGTCTCCTCCCTCTGGCAGCTCCCGACCCATCCCTTGATTGCCGCGCTACCATCTCCCTCACCCCTTCTCCCCGCTCTTCCTTAACGGACACTAAACCAAACAGACTTTTGTGCAGTAAAACAACTGCTGCCTGAGCCCCTGAGGAGGGGGGGG